GCAAAGAGTTGTACTAGATACCCTACAAGATCAGTCCAACTCTCTGATACTCCTATTTGAATTGTGGGCAACATAAGGTGCTCCAGAGGTTATTGGATTATAACACCCTTCAATTCTAACCAATGGTGAATATGCATAGGAGCTGTAGTCAAGTAGCATTTCAAAGGCAGTAAGTTGTCCACTTCTGATCTACAAAAGGATATCGTAAAGTTTTAATTATCATCTTAAAAATAATTTGACAGAAAATTTGTTTTGATTTGTAGTTGATAACTTATCGCTATGTAGTCACAATTCAGATTTACACATTTTTCCCAGAATTTCTTGACCCTCCAAATACCATTATTGTAGAAGTCTGCAGATTGTGCCTTAAACCACTCTTCCACTATATGAATGACATCATCTGTGTTGTCAAATCGGTGATCCCGCAATGGATTTTTCATTTTTGGGAAAAGAAAAAGTCACTTGGTGATGATGACACTGACAAAATTTCATCAATATACCATAATAACATCCAGGTAATAATTATTACTTTACGATATCCCCTTGTATGTGGTAGCACCTGAAATGTATATATAGCATCCTTAATATCCTTAACACAGCAAATGATTGTTTGTAGTTATCTATAAGGTTGCATCACATTTTGCGATCAGAGTTTGAGATTTTGAAAAAAAAATGAATGACAACTCCCAGAAATCCCCCATGGCTAGTGATAATAGTAAGCTGCCCCAGTTGCATATGCAGAGGAGCAGGATAAAAATTTATTATTATTATTATTATTATTATTATTATTATTATTATTATTATTATTATTTTGCCAGCTCGGGAGGCCTAGGAGTTGTCACCCAGAAAAATAACTTTTTCAAATTCTGTCTAGTATACTTTTTCCAAAATACTTGAAGCAGTAACCTGACCATCCTTACGAACCAGTCTGTAATATAGGAAACATTATTTTCTGGTCCCCTCCCAACCGTTAATCAAAGGAGACCTGAGACTGACTAATAAGTAAATCATTTTGTGAACAAGCGACCCCTTTTCCTTCTCCTTCTCTGGAATAACCATATCAAGGGAATGGAGAGCATAAGCTTCTGCTTTCAATGAACTGGAATTCCCATTATGCCTGAAGCTGGGAAAATCTGGTTAGTTTAAATCTTAATCCTTAACATGTTTCTAAGGGGCTATGCAGACAGGCAGGAAAAGGTAACCTGAAGTTGCCTTTTCCCTAAGCTGCAGCAACCACACTGCCTGCCCTGAGGTTGCCCTAAATGGGAACGGAGCAACTGCATTGTGGGGAGTCAATGCAGCTTTTCCAAGGCTGTATTGAAGCCCCAGTAACCACACTGTCAGCCCCAAGGATGCTGCAAAGGGAGGTGGAGCAATCACATGGGCTGGCAGCAGCTGCTTTAATTTTTTTGTTGTTCTCAAATGCATGCACATGTGCGCAGGACCATCTCTCCACACCTGCACATCTGTGCAGGAAAACATCCCTGGGCACCTGCACAGGACCTGTTATACAGTGGTATACAGTCTGTCACTCTCTGTGTACAAAGATGACTGAAGCTCGGCATCCTTGTGCACTTGCACAGGATCTGTCATACAGCCACATATCATGTAAAAATTTGCTGACCTCCACTTCCCCCCAAGGAGTGGGTGCAGTAGACAGGAGCCACTGTCTGATTGTGCCACCCTTGGGATGAAGGAATGGGTTTGTCA